CTCTGCCATAAAAAGAATAAAATAATGCCATTTGCAGCAACATGGATGGACCTAGAGATCGTCATTCTAAGTGAAGTAAGCCAGAAGAAAAGAAAAATAACCATATATCACTCATACGTGGAATCTAAAAAGAAAACGAAAAGAAAAAAAAAGGACAATATGAACTCATCTACGAAACAGAAACAGACTCGCAGACATAGTAAACAATCTTATGGTTACTAGTGAAAGGGGGTGGGAAGGGATAAATTGGGAGTCTCGAGATTTACAAATGTTAGCCACTATATATAAAAATAGATTTAGAAAAAACAGTTTCTTCTGTATAGCACGGGGAACTATGTTCAGTATCTTGTAATAATAACCTTTGATGGAAAAAAATATGAAAACAAATATATGTATGCATATGCAAGATTGGGACATTGTGCTGTACACCAGAGACTGACACACTGTAACTGACTGTACTTCAATAAAAATAAAATAAAATAAATTGTCTGCCCTCTAGACATATCTACTTCTGCCAATAAAAAATCAAGGCAGCAATTATCTAAGTTCTTGAACAGCAGAAATTTTAAGTTGAGATCATCTGAGCCCTAGTTTTTTGGGGGGCATTAATAATATTTATTTTAAACACCTTTATTGTGGTATGGTTTCTGTAAACTACACATATTACAGATGTACAATTTGATGAATTTTGATAGATGTATATACCCATGAAACCACCACCACAAGCAAGATAGCTAACATTTCCATCACTCTCCAAGATGTGTAACTTTCGAATCCCCAATTTATCCCTTCCCACCCCCTTTACCCTCTAGTAACCGTAAGAACACTCTATGTCTGTGAGCCTGTTTCTGTTTTGTAGGTAAGTTCATTTGTGTCTTTTTTTTTTTTTAAGATTCCACATATAAGTGCTATCATATGGCATTTTTCTCTTTCTGTAGCCCTGGTTTTAAAGATACATTTATCTTAATAAAAAAGCAAAAAATAACCGAAATCCCACCTTAAATAAAAGCGTATTTTTCAAGTTCTTAAGTTGTTACTTTTCTAGCTGTAAAAATTTTTAAATACCACTACAGAAAGAACATCACCTGTTAGAACATTACTTTTACAAACACAGTTATGTTGCTAATGCTAGTAAGTGTTACACCACAGAACACTAAAGCTTGGAAATAACCAACAAGCAGGTTTAGGCTGGATTTCTGAAAATGGACACCCCTGGTTCTCAATTCTGTCTGTGTAACATACACAGATTCTGCGGTTCTGAATTTGGAATTGTGATGTATACTTGAAACATGGTGTGTTTTCAAAGCCCCATACGTGATCCTGACACAGCCAGAACACAGAGAAATTAATATATATTTTTACAGATGAAACAGAAGCATGTTCCTTGACATAAAAATAATAAGTAATAATATTTGAAGATTAAGCTTACCCTTTCCAAGAGACTCATTTCCTGGAATTCTGGACTAGTGTTGGACAGTCGCTGCAAAGTATGGGTCAAATCATATGTTGTTGAGAAGTAAAACCCATCCACAGTCAAGACGTGGTTTATCATTGCTAAGAAAGTTTTATTATCTTGTAACTGTAAACAAAGGAGAGAAAACAAGCAGTTTATTGCATACTTGAAAAGGAATCTATTAGCATGACAAAAGAATGAAAAAGAAAAATCTGTTAAGTCCAGTCCTGTTAAATACCACTGGCACAAAGACTAGGCAAGGAGGCTGTTCGCCATTTCCCCAGGACCTGGGACAGTTCCTGACACATGGCCAACGCTCGACAGCATAAGGTATTATATTAACTGATTAGGTAGAACTCTCCACTGGTATCCTTCACAATTTTGCTCTAAAGGGCAGAAGAGTTATTTTAACAAAACATCACCACCTTAGGTTATGACCTACTGTGTGCTAGACACTTTACACAGATTCTCCTTCATCTTTGCAACAACCCCTAGTTTAGTGTAATGATTCTCATCTGATGGATGAAAAACAAATTCATGAGAGGCCCAGTAACACACAGAGTCAATAACAAGAGAACAGAACCATCCTCATGCCTAAGAAACTTTACTGGTTTCGGCTAGTTGGGAAATAAAACAAAATTCTTTTTTCTTTTTCTTTTAAAGAGCAAAGATTGAAAAGTCCAGAAGAGGGAGAAGTGGCCAAGACGGTAGAGCAGGAAGACCTTGAGCTCACCTCTTCCTACAGGCACACCAAAATTACAACTATTCACAGGGCAACCACCTATGAAAATGACCTGAAGACTAACAGAAAAGATTTTCACAACTAAAGATATAAAGAAGGAAGCATTTCCTTCAAGATCAGGAACAAGACAACAATGCCCATTCTCACCACTTTTGCTGAACATAGCATTAGGTGTCCTAGTCACAGCAATTAAGCAAGAAAAAGAAGTCAAAGGAATCAAAACTGAAAAGGAAGAAATAAATAGTCACTGTTACAGATGACATGATAGCATATACAGAAAACTCTAAAGACCAAAACAACTAGTACAACTAATACATGAATTTAGTAAAATAGCAGGATATAAATTAATATACAGAAATCTGTTGCATTTCTATATGCTAACAATGAACTAACAGGAAGAGAAATGAAGGAGACAATCCCATTTACAGCTGCATGAAAAATAATAAAATATCTAGGAATAAATCTAAGCAAGGTGGTAAAAGATCTGTTACTGTAAAACTGTAAGACATCAACAACAGAAGTGGAAGACGGCATAAGCAGACTCACAGATACAGAAGAAACTGGTGGTTGCCAGTAGGGAGGGGGGTGGGAGAGATGAGTGAAACAGGTGATTAATTAGAGACAAACTTCCAGTTATAAAATAGAGTCATGGGGATGTAATGTACAGTATAAGGAATACAGTCAATAATACTGTAGTAACTTTGTACGGTGACAGATGGTAACTAGACTTATCATGGTGATCAGTTTATAATGCATAACAATACTGAATTACTACGTTGTACACCTGAAATGAATATAAGTTTATTATACTTCAATAAGAAAGAACAGAAGATCCAGTAAAAGTAGTTTATTTTCTGATAATCATTTTAGCTGACTTTCCCAAGGAATACCGAGATTGACATTTATTTTCACCTTGTTTTTAAAAGTAATTTTTCATGTTTGGTAACGTTTAATATTTAACAAATTATTAACATGTTAGTCTACATGTTACAAATCTACATATTACAAAATTTTTAATTTGGCCTCAGACTTTAAAAAAAAAGGTATAAATAAGCAAAACATACACAGTGAAGAATGCTAAAATTGGTCACATGGCCTGACAATAAACTACAGCAATCAAGAAGAAACTGTTCAAGTAAATATTACTGGGCTATTAAATGAATGCAACCATTTTTACCTTAAATTATCATTTAAGTCTCATAGAGAAAGAATATATTAATACATTGATTGATATATATATATATAATAAAAAATAAATTGTAAGTTTAAAGTTAAAAATCATTCTACAGTTTTACTTAGTCAATAAGACAACAGAGCTATCACTAATTTTTTTAAGTGTTTATCATACTTAAGTATGTGTTTTTGAGTAAGTTTTATTTTAGAAACAAACTTTTGGTAATCTTGGGAATAAAAATACAACTTAAAAAATTTAAAAAGCAAACATATAAATAAAATTACATTTAGAAAACAAATACTCAATAGGTATAAATCTCTAAACATAATGTTGACTTAAAAACAGTAATTTTCAAAAACTAGAACAGGGTTGATGCCATTCATATTAAGTTTTGAAAATACTTTAAGCAAAAACAGATATTGTCTGATTATGAACACAGGCAGTCTCCACTTTGCACGAAGGTGTGGGACTACAACAATGACTATGCTATCTTAATAATCTTAAACTATCTTAATAATCAACAGGAAAAACTATGATTGTTTCATAACAAATTTTTTTATCAACACATTAAAAACTCCTACTCTAAGTTATGAATGTATAGGGAAATGAAAAAGTAGTAAAACTAGTATTATTTAGTACACTGTAATTTAAAACATTAGAAACACTGAGAATTTAAAATACTTTATTTCTTGTCAAAAATGTATCAAGAATAGCCTGGACAGCGCTTGTGTTCTTCTCGTCACCCAACTCACGATGCCATCTTTCCTACACCCTGGTGACTGTCATACATCTAAGCCGGAACCAGCTTCTAACACTTTATTCTTTGCACTATAAAGTCAGGAAATACTTCCGTGAGCTCCTTTAATGTGAAGTCTGCTGTTGAGCTCACCTCCTCTGGGACATCGTCAACCTTTCATCACAACAACTTCGTCATGAATGTCGATACGGTCACCTTCACTAGGACTTCGGGCTGTGCATCTAGCCTCTTGAATAGCGACAGCATCAGCAGTCCCGCCATCAGCTGCTGCTTCTATACTCTATTCATGTTCAATTTGAATTTCACTTCTAAGAGTCATCCCTTTTTGATTCTTTGCACTTTCATCTTTGGTGAGCTAATTTTTTAGGTGTTATACCATGGAAACCAAATAAACTGTGCTGTTGGGGGCTGGTGTCAACTGAACTGTGGTAACTGAAATCCATGCATATAGGAATCGTAAAAACGAGGACTGTGTGAACATGTACACACACGTTTATATTCACATGTGGCAAAAGTGAAGAAAACTTTTTCCCTGGGGAAAGAGGGAAGGAAATAGGATAAGTGGAACTTCAAAGATACCTAATATTTTATTTCTTCAGAAAAAGGAAATGAAGTTAAATCTATGCGTTGAGTACATGTGCCTTTGCTGTTTGTCCTTTTCTCTCCGTGTGAAATTTCATATTTTAAGAACTGAGTCAGTCTAAAACAAAGCAAAACAAACCCAAGAGCAATAAAATATATAAAGAGGTTTTTTTTTT